TATATTTATTCAAAGACCAGCACAGGAATTTATTACTGGTGACACATAGTGAGTATAGAAGCAAAGTTCACTTTATAATCTTAACAAAATTGTGACTGCCTGACGATTTTCATGAAGATCCTAGTTGCAGCAAATTCCCCCTTATACTAAATAACAAAATATATATCTGGGCGGTTGATATATATTACAAGGTCACTACAAGAATTTCAGCTGCAAGGCTAATATAAATTTTGAAGGAACAATCAAATTACCTCTGCAAAAATCTTGTTCACTTCCAATTTTCCTCTGACAGTAAAGTCCATATCCACAGCAGCTAATGTGGCTGGTTGCACTCTTGATCAAGGAAAATCTTGAATATATAAAGAAGTTATTATTAAGACAAAATTCCATTTTCAACTATCTTAATTATTGTCTAGTTTTTCGTCAGGTATTCTATGGTTACTTCATCCCTCTATATATAACTATGGTTGCTATATTTATTCAAAGACCAGCACAGGAATTTATTACTGGTGACACATAGTGAGTATAGAAGCAAAGTTCACTTTATAATCTTAACAAAATTGTGACTGCCTGACGATTTTCATGAAGATCCTAGTTGCAGCAAATTCCCCCTTATAATAAATAACAAAATATATATCGGGCAGTTGATATATATTACAAAGTCACTACAAGAATTTCAGCTGCAAGGCTAATATAAATTTTGAAGGAACAATCAAATTACCTCTGCAAAAATCTTGTTCACTTCCAATTTTCCTCTGACAGTAAAGTCCATATCCACAGCAGCTAATGTGGCTGGTTGCACTCTTGACCAAGGAAAATCTTGAATATATAAAGAAGTTATTATTAAGACAAAATTCCATTTTCAACTATCTTAATTATTGTCTAGTTTTTCGTCAGGTATTCTATGGTTACTTCATCCCTCTATATATAACTATGGTTGCTATATTTCTTCAAAGACCAGCACAGGAATTTATTACTGGTGACACATAGTGAGTATAGAAGCAAAGTTCACTTTATAATCTTAACAAAATTGTGACTGCCTGACGATTTTCATGAAAAAGATCCTAGTTGCAGCAAATTCCCTTTATAATAAATAACAAAATATATACCCGGGCAGTTGATATGTATTACAAAGTCACTACAAGAATTTCAGCTGCAAGGCTAATATAAATTTTGAAGGAACAATCAAATTACCTCTGCAAAAATCTTGTTCAATTCCAATTTTCCTCTGACAGTAAAGTCCATATCCACAGTAGCTAATGTGGCTGGTTGCACTCTTGACCAAGGAAAATCTTGAATATATAAAGAAGTTATTATTAAAACAAAATTCCATTTTCAACTATCTTAATTATTGTCTAGTTTTTCGTCAGGTATTCTATGGTTACTTCATCCCTCTATATATAACTATGGTTGCTATATTTATTCAAAGACCAGCACAGGAATTTATTACTGGTGACACATAGTGAGTATAGAAGCAAAGTTCACTTTATAATCTTAACAAAATTGTGACTGCCTGACGATTTTCATGAAAAAGATCCTAGTTGCAGCAAATTCCCCCTTATAATAAATAACAAAATATATATCCGGGCAGTTGATATGTATTACAAAGTCACTACAAGAATTTCAGCTGCAAGGCTAATATAAATTTTGAAGGAACAATCAAATTACCTCTGCAAAAATCTTGTTCACTTCCAATTTTCCTCTGACAGTAAAGTCCATATCCACAGCAGCTAATGTGGCTGGTTGCACTCTTGATCAAGGAAAATCTTGAATATATAAAGAAGTTATTATTAAGACAAAATTCCATTTTCAACTATCTTAATTATTGTCTAGTTTTTCGTCAGGTATTCTATGGTTACTTCATCCCTCTATATATAACTATGGTTGCTATATTTATTCAAAGACCAGCACAGGAATTTATTACTGGTGACACATAGTGAGTATAGAAGCAAAGTTCACTTTATAATCTTAACAAAATTGTGACTGCCTGACGATTTTCATGAAGATCCTAGTTGCAGCAAATTCCCCCTTATACTAAATAACAAAATATATATCTGGGCGTTGATATATATTACAAAGTCACTACAAGAATTTCAGCTGCAAGGCTAATATAAATTTTGAAGGAACAATCAAATTACCTCTGCAAAAATCTTGTTAACTTCCAATTTTCCTCTGACAGTAAAGTCCATAATCACAGCAGCTAATTTGGCTGGTTGCACTCTTGATCAAGGAAAATCTTGAATATATAAAGAAGTTATTATTAAGACAAAATTCCATTTTCAACTATCTTAATTATTGTCTAGTTTTTCGTCAGGTATTCTATGGTTACTTCATCCCTCTATATATAACTATGGTTGCTATATTTATTCAAAGACCAGCACAGGAATTTATTACTGGTGACACATAGTGAGTATAGAAGCAAAGTTCACTTTATAATCTTAACAAAATTGTGACTGCCTGATGATTTTCAATGAAGATCCTAGTTGCAGCAAATTCCCTGTTATACTAAATAATAAACAAAAATATATATCTGGGCGGTTGATATATATTACAAGTTCACTACAAGAATTTCAGCTGCAAGGCTAATATAAATTTTGAAGGAATAATCAAATTACCTCTGCAAAAATCTTTTTCACTTCCAATTTTCCTCTGACAGTAAAGTCCATATCCACAGCAGCTAATGTGGCTGGTTGCACTCTTGATCAAGGAAAATCTTGAATATATAAAGAAGTTATTATTAAGACAAAATTCCATTTTCAACTATCTTAATTATTGTCTAGTTTTTCGTCAGGTATTCTATGGTTACTTCATCCCTCTAATATAACTATGGTTGCTATATTTATTCAAAGACCAGCACAGGAATTTATTACTGGTGACACATAGTGAGTATAGAAGCAAAGTTCACTTTATAATCTTAACAAAATTGTGACTGCCTGACGATTTTCATGAAAAAGATCGTAGTTGCAGCAAATTCCCCTTATAATAAATAAAAATATATATCCGGGCAGTTGATATGTATTACAAAGTCACTACAAGAATTTCAGCTGCAAGGCTAATATAAATTTTGAAGGAACAATCGAATTACCTCTGTGCAGAAATCTTGTTCACTTCCAATGTTCATTTGAAAGTAAAGTTCATATCCACAGTTAATGTTGCACTCTTGTCCAAAAAATCTTGAATATAAAAAGACATTATTAATATAAAATTCCATTTTCAACTATCTTAATTACTGTCTAGTTTTTGGTTAGGTAATCTATGGTTACTTCATCCTTCTATATATAACTATGGTTGCTATATTTACTTCAAGACCACCACAGGAATTTATTACTGGTGACACATAGTGAGTATAGAAGCAAAGTTCACTTAGCAATCTTAACCAAATTGTGACCGCACTGACAATTTTCATGAAAAAGATCCTAGTTGCAGCAAATTCCCTCTTATACTATTGAAATAACAAAATACATACCCAGGCAGTTGATATGTATTACAAGGTAGTGACAAGAATTTCAGCTGCAAGGCTAATATAAATTTAGAAGAAACAATCGAATTACCTCTGTCCAGAAATCTTGTTCACTTCCAATGCTGACCAAGGAAAATCTTTAATATAATAGGACATTATTAATAAAAATTGCATTTATAACTACCTTAATTATTGTCTAGTTTTAGCAGAAGGCACACAAACAGTAAAGTAAAATACTTAACTTTGACCAGACAGCACAACAATCTTGCTCAGAAAGGTCCGCGAACGGTCCACGTGTATAGTTTTCTTTTGCATCGCCATTTTGAATTCGGCCGGGCGAGTCTTGAACTGATTTCTATTTCAACTGTTCTCTTGACGTTCGTCTTGATAACTAGCTGTTGAGATAAACGTTAATGACAAAATCTTCAGTTCTGCTTCAGTCTATGGGTACGAAAATTGCTCAAGACATAAATTTTCAGTAAAAAATTATCATCATTGCAGGCAAAATTAATCTCGAAACTTTAGATAACCTTGTACGCAGAATATTTCATATTGTATATGGTTTTTTGTTATTTCTGACCGACAATTAGCAGAAGGCACACAAACATCAAAGTAAAATACTTAACTTTGACCAGACAGCACAACAATCTTGCTCAGAAAGGTCCGCGAACGGTCCACGTGTATGGGATCGCCATTTTGAATTCGGCAGCGGCGAGTCTTGAACTGATTTCTATTTTCTATTTCAACTGTTCTCTTGACGTTCGTCTTGATAACTGGCTGTTGAGATAAACGTTAATGACAAAATGTTCAGTTCTGCTTCAGTCTATAGGTGCGGAAGTTGCTCATGACATAAATTTTCAGTAAAAAATTATCATCATTGCAGGCAGAATTAAGTTCGAAATTTTAGATAACCTTGTACGCAGAATATTTCATATTGTATATGGCTTTTTGTCATTTCTGGCCAACAATTAGCCGAAGGCACACAAACATCAAAGTAAAATACTTAACTTTGACCAGACAGCACAACAATCTTGCCCAGAAAGGTCTGCGAACGGTCCAGGTGGATGGTTTTCTTTGGCATCGCCATTTTGAATTTGGCCGGGCGAGTCTTCGCATTCATCTTGACAACTAGCTGTTCAGATAAACCTATATACAACGAAAAAAAAGGGTTCGGCTCAGCTACACTGTACTCCTTAAGGAAGGCCTACGGCCTTCCCGTAGATTAGTGTAAAGGCCTACAAGTGGGAACTAGCAGCGTGCGGGGGACCAAAACGCTCTAGGCAAACGGTCCCCCTACTGGGGTCGGACAAAGCAACCGCAGATTACGCATATAATCGCCGGAACCCACCTTTTAGTCAACGGCGAACTCCTTCTTCTTCGAACAATCTTCAATCTTGCTGAGCTTCGATCTTGCTGTCCACCTTCGATCGCCACCAATCTAAAGAAATTTTTTTTTAACGTTGAGATTAGTTTCATAGGCAATAATTACCATGTGATCTTAGCAGATCACGTGGTATGATAATGTACGACAACATGCCGATCAACTCCGAACATCATCGTGAGCGATGTTACATAAACGAATCACTAAACGCCTAGAAAAAAGTTGTCCTTTCCTATATTTCAACCTTTTAAAAGCAGTGCATTCTAGTTTTGTTTTGAAGCACAATTTGTTTTTTGCTTCTAGTTTTTTGGTTTCGTTTTAAAAGGTGAATTGTCTCTGTGTGCCGAATTCTTTGTATTTCTGATGTCAAACACCCTGTTCTTTTTGGTATCATAAATATAAGCTCCTTTGTTTTGGAGACATACAACAGTTTTTTTTATATTTTAGCCAAAACATATAGCAGCAATTACAGATTCACTAAGTTCATTCTCATCTTGATTCACAAATTTTTAAAGGACTTGAATCGATTCCATGCGGTCTACAATAGCTGGGCGAACGTCTTACACCTAAAGTCAGTCAAAGATTGTTGTATCTCAATTCTTCAGCTTCAGTGGTTCTTTAGACTTAGCAATAGTTTATTTCCCTTTCTTATCATTGCATTCCAGTTTAAAATTATAGTTTATATTGTATTTCCAGGCATTTATTCCATATTTCCCTTTCTTATCATTGCATTCCGGTTTCAATTTATAGTTTATATTGTCAGACAATAATTGTCTTTCCAGGCATTTATTCCACTACATATCTCCAATATTGTAAAAATGGTTCTTTAAGCCTTCAGATCAAAACATTGGCAAAAACAATCTGAAACACAAAATATTAACATCAGACTCTGATAAAACAACATTGAATCAACGTTTAAACAATTCTACTTCCCCTCATTCTAAGGCTACTAAATGGTGCTACCCCTCTTATATATCAAACTACATGCATCAACCTGCCTTGGCAAAAACAAAAACGGGCTTTAAAGAGTTAGTTTCCATTTCTTTTCTTAGCACTTAATCGAATGTTTCAAAATACAAACTAATTTGGCAACACAGGTCCCACAATTATGTCAAACACCGAATACATGGTCTGAAATAATTCGCCATTCCTCTCGCCTCTCGACTGAAGGCGGATTTTTTAATAAAATTAAACCACAAATCTTTCTTAAAACTACTGCACCCTTACTGAAGTGTTCGGTTGGGGCATGGAATGTTAAAATAAAACAAAAACAACACTATTAAAAAATACGAAAATTTATAAAATGGCGGCTTACTGCCTTACCTCGTGGTTTTCAAATCGCCTTTCACTTCATTTCTCGCTGGACTTTTAATCTAACAAAGCAGAAAAAATGAACGTCATTTACGTGAAATAAATGCTTTGGCATAACAAACATTCTTACTCTAAAACGTTGAACTAATGCAAAAGAAATCGACCGAAAAAATATTCAGAAAATTCCAACATTCGATGCGCGAGGACGAAGTCATATTAAAAAAGGCAGCAAACAAAAACATACGCTTATAAGATATATATCTAGATATACTTATAATCGGAATATCTTTTTCTCAACAAGCTTCACTTCATTAAAATAACTTTATAGTTTCTCTTTAAAACATAGAAAATTAAAAATTTCCGGGCTTTCCTTCCTTCGCCTTTCTTCTCCGAAATCTATCCTCGTTACCCGGTTTTTCGCGTACTGGGCGTGCCGAATGCCCCCCCTGATTTGTGCACAATTTACCGTACAATTTTATATTATTGATACTGCATGTCTAAATTCTAAAACGATCAATATTTTCAATACATTCAATATTTTTAGGTAATTAGTTATTGTATTTAAAATTAATTGTGATAGTGATTTATTTGATTCTTTCTCCATGTAAATAATCATGAGAACAAGCATAGGCATAGAATATGGGGGGCTGAGGGGCTCGGCCCCCCAAGAAATCTTACTGGGGGGCCTCAGCCCCCTAAAAATTTGCCAAAAAGTAATAATTGCATCAGAGCAATGTTGAATCTTTCAAAAAAGATCTTTATATACACATGAAACGGTATTATTATAGTTGATATTATAATATATCGAGCAACTCGGAAAAGCAATTGCGAAATACAGAATTTTCAAGCTGTAAATCATAAAATACATGGCAGCTTGTAAAATCATAAAATACATGGCAGCTTGTTCATTTTATCTTTCATTAGCTTTTCTACCCACAACAGGTCAAAATCATTGGTAAATATTTTCTCCACCTATCGGCCATATGAACCATGACTACCGATGCAACTATATATCAAGAGGAAATTTATTCTATTTAATTTTATCTAATGTCAGAAAGTGTTGCTAGCTAGATATCATGTATCTAAAGTTTAAGCCCCCCAGAAGAAAACAAAACTCTAAACCTATGAGAACAAGTTTCAAAATTCATGTTTGTAAATTCATAAATCCTTGCTCTTTGCACAAAATTCCTCAGTCAGCACTTTTTTATTGCTAAGACTCCCAGTGCAATCAATTACTCAGGCTTTTTGGAAAACCTGGAAGGATGGCCCACAAAATCAATTTGGAATTTCCCACAATTTGCATAACCATCCAGAGCTCCCATTTTCATCATATAATACCAATAAAGATACAGTACAGATATCAGATATACAGAGACAAAAGAGTACAGAGATCAACTGAAGCACTAACATATTGTACATGATCCAATAAACATCTGGGGCTTTTAAGTCTAGGTCATTAATTTTTTTTCATTTTCATTTTGAAAAATATAAAAATCTTTTCATGACATATTGCAAGTCAAGTTGCTCTGAGTAAACAAGACTTGCAGAAAATTTCAATTGCTATAGTTACCCAGAACAAACACACCCAATGGTGCAAATAGACGATTTTTGCAAACAAGATAACAAACTAGGTTTTAACGCTAAAATGACAGCATTAGCTTTTTTTAGTTCTAAATATTTTTGCCTCCAAGCTGAACCTCAAATAAATAAAACTTTTCCAAAACATTTTACAGGCTATATATTTAAAACTTCTATGATCTATCTAAAATAAACAGTCCCTATTTTACGTAGACTGAATGGTTCACGTCCCGGCCAATTGTCTTTAGAATAAACCATGAGAATTTTATCAAGTTACCTTTATTATTTTTCGAATTATCGTGCACGAAAGTAAAGGGAATGACAATTTTAGCTTGCTAAGAAAAACTAAAAAAGTTTTTCATTAATTATACAGAACAATGAAACAAGCTAATCGACTCCTTAAATTTTTAAAACAGGGTAAATCTACATTTTCAATGACCAACACCACCTTAATGAAATCTGCCAATTCTAGAGAGAGCATTTAATAGAGAGAGGCATTTATATCATTAGCACCACCATATTTTGAAGAAGTGAAAATACCACTAAGACTAAATATCAATAATTTGTGATGCCATTCTAATACATACAGCATCAAGTGTTAGTTAATGCAGTTTGTGCATGTAAACTTAAAAAGTCTCCCATGTGTTTCAAAGTCGCAATTTAGTGCATTTGCCTATTGCAAAAATTTCCTCATTGTCAAAGTTTGTGCAAACTGTTTGTGAATGTTTCCAAAACAAAACAATTAAATTACAAATTAAAATTGAACATTATAACCAAGATACTCTGAAACACAACCACACTAGGGACATTAAACATTACTGGGACGATTAAGTTCAAAATGGAAAACAAAATCATCTATTTATTGAACAACTGAGCTGAAATATTTTGATGTAAATAGTTTAATTGTCAATGGAAGTACATATTTAATGCGTAAGATGCAGGTTCATTCATTCACAAGATCTGTTAGAGTACTTTTAAACTTGGGTTATCCACCGTTTAAGCTAAAAGCCTTTCGAACAACCGGCCCCTAGTGTTTTGATTCGGAGGAGGCATTTATTAGACACAGATGCCTAATGCAAACATATGTTGAAGGGAGTAGTTTCAGACGTTTATATGATAGAGACCGTTCATTGCATCATTTATAAGTGCAATCAAATGGAGTCCGTAAAATGCTGTAATACTATGACACAAGTTACTCAATATTCAATAACCTATCAAGCTCATTTGGAATAATACAAAGGAAAAGGAAAGCCCAAACGAAAATCATATTTGATTATATTTATGTAAGAAACTCACCGTAAAATGACTGAAGTAGGTTTTCAAGAAAGGACTTTGTTATCCACCATGTTACAAATGAATTTGTTTGGATGCTTCCTTCTAAAAATGCAATATATACCAACTGCAGTTAATCCATACATCTTTAGCAACACTTGTTCAGTTCTAGGCAGACAATTTTTGATGCACAATTTCTAAAATTAATAAATATACCTTGTTATTCTGTGAGCTGATAAAAGCCTGATCTCATTTACAATCTATAAGATATCAAAAGTTGAAAAGTTTTACTCATTTGTAAAAGTTATAAGTAATCAGATGATAAAAGGCGAACATGCAGAAGGTGGGTTAATAGTTCACATAATTCCACGCAATATTTGTCCATTACTAGCTGGTAGTCATCACAGTAAACCATCAATTATGAGTAAAAGCAATCAGCTGTAATCGTTCCACATGTTAAATTCCACTTATTCGAATTCGAATAAGCTTTATATCGCTTAAGATTACACTTAAAGAATAAAGCAAGAGACGGGAATATTTTCAATACCTTTCCGAGCTTGTAGCGCCAACAATTTACGATCTTTTTGCAAGCAAAAACATTTCTTGATTGACCACCATATTGAATAGATCGAGAGAGAAGCTCGTCGTGAACTGCGCATGTGTTAGGTTCAGCATAAATTATTACATCATAGATACGATTACGTAAACTTCATTTGCATATATCGTAGCTAGAGATTTGCCAGGCGGAAAACGGATTCTTATTATAAATATGAGAGCCCAACATATAACCTTAAAGAAAGTCATCATTACTTTTAAACTTCAATTGTTTTGATGGCTTTCTTAAATGTTATATGTTGGGCTCTCATATTTATAATAAGATTCATTTGCATATATTGATTAGACTGATCATAAATTAAAAAGGAAGACAAAAGAGGTTGCTACCACAACCCGGGGGCACTTTGGGGAAGAATAACAAACCCCCGCCGCGCCCCTAATTGAGGTAGCAGAGAGGAGAGTTTTTAGAAAGATCCCGAAGGATCTCCAACGATACCGCCATAGGCAGCACCGAGAGAAGACAGTCACATAATTCTATTTATTCAAATTAACTATATACTTATTTAAAAGAATTTTAAATAAAACTAGATCAAAATTAACTATTCTAATCACCATGCATTTTCCAATGGGCTGTTTAAACTCTTCGAATGTCATAATGATTGTTGTTCTTCCTAATTTTTATAGAAAAGGAGTACTTCGCACGTAAAGTTAAAGTTTAAGAAACTTTAAAAAACCTCTGCAATCTTAACATTTAGTCCAAAATCGTCTACCACTTCAAGTTCTTTTCTATAGAAAGGTGATCTAGATCCCCTTACACTCGCATGTACCGATCTTAGAATTTCGAAAGAGATTCTGGTTCTCAACCAAGCTATGAAAACTGCATAACGTTCATGGTCTCTTGCTGCTAATTTCTGCGCCAGCTGAGTAAGAAACTTGTGGCATTCAGACCCCATTCCACCATTGGTTCCAAGAACAAGTGGGGTAAAGGAGCCCATTTCAACATCTAAAACTCTCTGTTGGTATTTTCTCTTCTTTTCGTTCTCGTGTTCCTTAAAAGTGTTCTGGGTTGGCCGGCCTTGGTTACATCGGGAGTTTACATGCGTTACTCTTACGTCAAAAAATGCAGTAGCTCCACGTAGCCAGAAACCGTCCGCCTTCATGTCCAATCTCGCTTCGGGACTTATATTGGCCGATCTCAAGTCAAATCTCTCATTATCAAGGGGTTGAAGATGAGGCTCAATTTCCACATTCTTACACACTTTATCCAGTTGCGCTGTTAGCAAATTACGGATTCCATCGTGCCTTTGTGCCACGAACCCACCTTTTTTACAAGAGAGGGCATGATTGATGTTAAAGCGATCTCCACACGCACAATGACTTGGTAAATCGTTCAAAGTTAAATTGTATCTCATTCGTAACGAGTCTCTGAATTCTTGCTGATTGAGGGCTAGACCTTGATCTTTGAGTGGAATCGCATTTAGCCAGGAACTCGCTCCTTTGTCTCGGGATTGCTTTACCAAGAACAGTAGGTCTGGAGAAAGTGTTGCATCAATGTTATCCATTCTTGACTTAATAATTTCCGCTTTGTTTGCTTGCTGCATTCGCTTCAGATCATCTATAGACTGCTCTATCGGTTCCAGAGCCTCACTCTGCTTTAATTGAATTTACATGTTGATTAGTAAATAATTTTGAGGCTGCATATTGCAAAGGAGCTTCTATTCTCAAATTCGGTACGCCTAATCCCCCTTGAGCTAACGTTAGGGCCACAAGTTCACGAAGCACTCGCAAGGGGTTCTTCTTGACCAAAAAATTGTGGTACGAGAATGTCATTCAATGTTTCATGTATCGGTTCTACGTACTCTTCGAAGGCCTCAATTGTTCGCATGAAGTAGGTAAATTTTGATTTGTATGCTTTCGTAAGGGCAATGTAGGCTGCATGAGGCTGGCTTTTCGCGATTTCCGTGAGTGATGAGATATCTTGTACCCATCCTTGAATTTTTCTTTACAATACTCATCTTTATATTCTTTTGATCCTATAACAGCACCCAAATGCGTTTTCCTTCTGTTGTAATTTTAACTTCTTCTCCAAGATCTGCTCTGCTTCTTTGGCCAGTTCTTGCGTCTTCACTATCAGCCAACACTTTGGACCATTTACTAGATAGCCGTATTTCTTTCCTTCTCTTCCAAATGCTTATACCAATTATATAAATGTGTCAATCTTCCTCCTCCCGCTGAGTCATCAACCAGCCATACTTGTTTGATTTCTGGTATGTTCAATTCAAACTTTGAATCATTATAGCTGTGTTAATTGAGTACCAGGACATAGCTAGAGGATCCCTTGGGTGGTACCTTCTTGCGACAAAATCTCACCTCCCCCACATATGAATAGCCTGGAGGGGCATCTGTAGGTGTTAATGATGTATATGGACATTCTGTTGCAGGTTATTCAAATTGTGCATGTTACCGCTGTATTCATTTGGTTAAAAGCATTGGTCGCATCAATTAATAGGATTCCATCAGTCCCTTCTTCCTCAAAAACATGGCATGGCATGTATTGCTGCCTCGGCCCCAGCACTGTATCCTGCACAAACTTGCAATGGCCCCGCTGCTTCCCTTATCTATGCTCTCAAGAATAAGTTACTGTCTTACCGATTATTCTTCGCAGCACTTCCCCCACTCCAATTGGTCGAATTCCAGGATGTTTATCTAGTGGAATTAGCCTACAGGATGTGTAGCTTTTTAACAGGGATGAATGGTAGCATAATTTCAACAGATTTTTGGTCATCGTTGATATCTCTTCTCTTAAGATCTTACCTTCGTTACTGAAATTCTTTGAGCATAAAATTCGTCGGTATATGTCTGCGTCCATACCAGACGGTCCAGCTGAGCCCTTAGTTTTAAAAGCTGCGTCATAAATCATCTGCTCATTGATGAGGTCGAAAATATTGGACGCGATTCGATCTACGGGACCATTTAGGAGGCATTCGTCCTCTACATCACTGGCTGCCGGGTGTTTCTCTTTCAAAGCTTCCAAAGTTTCCGGCGAAAGATCTAGTAAACCCGGGGAGCTTTCTTTATCCAGAAATTTAATCGCCGCGGATAGTTTTCCTTGCATTACCAATCTGGCGGAAACTCTGGAGATATCATTTACTGTGCGGGGTTTTCTTGATAATAAGAATCGATCTTGTATAAATCTCACTTCTTTCATTAGTAGATTCAAGTCCCCTTGCTTCCATAGGGTTAATCTTCGTTTTATCGCTGTGCTGTGTTCTTTGCTCTTTGATGTTGCCGAGGGCTTTTGGAGAATCAAAGATGGAAGCACCATAAAGGCTTTCAATGCAATCGAATTGAGATCAGAATTGGAATTGAATTGCTTTAGCCAATAAGTCAACTCTGCAATGAAATCTTTTCCCGCTCTGCCGGAGGGTATATTAAAAATGTTCCTTCTAAAATGGACGATTTCGTCATAGATTTTACTAATCTGATCGCATAAACTTTGTTGACTAATAGAAGCCCACATTTTTTCTTTGATTTCAGACGCCATAACATCCAATTCAGGTAGATTTGGCTTATTATTTGCATTTCCTGTGTCATTATATTTTGGTTCCAGTGGTGTCACAGGGGAACGATTTGGAATGCGAACATTATTGTGCTCTGTGCTAATTTCCGTTGTATGGCTTTGTTCCGATTCCATCAGTCCCAGAGGGGATTTGTAAAGCGCATTCTCCGTGTCCATGCAAATTTCTGCAGCTTTACCGTTGCAGAGGCGTGACTGCAGTTTCCCCTTTGCTTTCTCAGGATTTATTTTCGCATGTCCTAATTTCTCGATATTTGAACTATCTATTAGAATTGCTTGCTGTGCGGGGTGTTGAAAGGCGACGGTACCCGACTCGTTCTCCATACAGCTTGATTTCATTTTGAGCTTAGAGCATTTACGAAGCTTACATATCTGATGACTTGTCTTTCTATTCAAACAACAATTACACTCGCCACAATTTATTTTCCTCAGGCACGGTTTGCAGCTACCACATTTTCTCCTTCTTTTCTTAACAACACCTTGCTCTAAATCGACTATATGCCTCGCTGTCGCATGTTGACCGCCGAAGTTTGTTCATGACTCTCAACGTTCATTTGATCTAGACCTTCTACATTCGTCGTAACTGGATCGTAATTTTCGATTGTAGAAACATCGGTAATATTTTCTACATCATTTTCTACTAGTTGTATTAAATGTTCAGCCAAATCACAAGAATTTTGGCTGATATTTTTTGAAATCGCAGAGCCCAAAATTTCATGACCGTCTGCCAGAAGTGACCACAAAAAAGAAGGGTCAAGAAAGGAAAGATGACAACCGAAAACCCTCAGAAGAGAAGAGCACACAACACCACAACATCTCATTAAAAATGTCTAGTATATATGTGACATAGCTCAGGGTGATTGTGGGAGTGTTCCACATGCGCACTGAAATTTAACCATGACCATATTAGTTCACTGCGACTGCGTGGCGTTTTTTGCTATTCTATTTGCGTTTGATCATCTGGCATTTGCAATAGCATTTAGATTTGTTAAAAAAAAAGCAAAGTGAAAAATGGAAAATTTCGTTTTGGCGGATAGTGTATATATAGCGAACGTACCCGAAGGTCCAAAACGTGCACGTCCATAAATCATATGCCTACGTACATACAAGTCGCAGATGTAGTAAATTACGCGGACCTACAAAACATCCACGTGCTTACATCGTATGTATACTTGTAAACTTTGAACTAATTTTTCATCAAGCCTTGGACATAATTAAGCCCTTTTTTTCAGGCAGCTAATTACCAAAACTTTCCAACAGTAACACGAAATTCTCACTCGAAAGCCAATAAAAAATACTCTTTTCTTTCGGGTTGTGACGAAAACATTTTTTCCCGATGCAAGATTCGAACCACCACCAACTTACCAGTTGCTACACCATTGTCGTTACCCTGCGACTATTCGCCTCTTTCGATAATGAGTGGTGTTTTTTATTTTACTTAAATCTTTTTTTTCAAGAGATTGATGAACATTTCGTCCAGCATTCAACCATTCCCCAAATAAACACGAGAAAGTTAGGAAAATGTTGGGGAAATGTTGGGGAAATGTTGGGGAGATGTTGGGGAGATGTTAGGGAGACGTGGGGAAATGTGGGGGAGATGTTGGGAAAATGTTGGGAAATTGTTGGGAAAATGTTAGGAAAATGTTGGGAAAATGATGGGAAAATGTTGGGAAAATGATGGAAAAAATTTGGAAAAAAGTTGGAAAGAAGTTGGAAAAAAGTTGGGGAAAAGTTGGGGAAATAGTGGTGTAAAGGTTGGGAAGATATTGGAAGAAAGTGTGAAAAGTTTTGGAAAAAGTGGGGAAAAATATTGGTAAAATTGAGGGGAAAGGTTGGGGAAATGTTGGAGGGAAATTGAGAATGGAAGGAAAGGGGAGAGGAAGGAAGACAGGACAGAGAAGGAAGAAAAGGGAGGGGAAGGAGGGAAGAAGGAGGGAAGGAGAAGAGAGGAAGAAGAAGGAGGAGAAGGAAGAGGAGGAGAAAGAGGGGAAGAAAGAAGAGGAGAGGAGAGGAGAGGAGAGGAGAGGGAAGAAGGGGGAAGGAAGGGAAGGGAGGGAGAGGGGAAGGGAGAAGGGAGAGAGAAAGGGGGAGGGGAGAGAGGAAAGAGGGGAGGAAGGAGGAGAAGGAAAGAAAAATGAGGGGAAAAAAAGGGAAGGGGAAGAAGGGAGAAAAAAAGAGGAGAGAAGAAAGGGGGGAAAAGAAAAGGGAGAAGAAAAAGAGAGAGAGAAAAAAGGGGAGGGGAGAAAAGGAAAGGAAAAGGGAAGGAAAAAAGCAGAGGGGAAGAGAGAAAAGGAGGGAAAAGGGGGGGAAGAAAGAAAAGGAGAGAAGAGGAGAAAAAGAGAAGAGAGGAAGGGAAAAGAGGGGGGAAAAGGAGAGGGGAGGAGGAAAAAAGAAAGAGGAAAGGAAAAGGGGGAGGAGAAGAGGGGAAGAAAGAAGGAGAGGAAAGGGGAAGAGGAGGAGAGGGGGAGAGAAAGAAGGAGAAGGGAGAGGAAAGAGAAGGAGAGGGGAAGAAAAAAGAAGGAGAGGAAAGGAGAAGGAGGGGAGAAGGAAGGAGGAGGGAGAGGAAAAGGAAAAGGGAGAAGAGGGGAGAGAAGGGGGGAAGAGGAAAGAAGGGAGGGAAGAAAAGGAAGGGGGAAAGAAGAGAAAGAGGAGAGAGGGAAAAGAAAGGGAGGAAGAAAAAAGGGGGGAAGAAAAAAGGAGAAGGGGAAAAGGGAGGGAGAGGAAAAAAAAGAAAGGAGAGGGGAGGGGAAAAAAAGGGGGGGGGAGGAGAAGAAAAAAAGGGAGGAGAAAGAGAAAGGGGAAGGAAAGAAAAAGGGGGGAGAAGAAAAGAAGAGAGAGGGGGGAAAGAGAAGAGGGGAGGAGAAGAAAAAAAAAGGGGAGAGGAAGGGGAAGGGAAAGAGAAAAGGAGGGGGAAGGGGAAGGGAAGAGGAGGGAAAGGGAAAAAGGGAAGAGGAGGGAAAGGAAAGAGGAGGGAAGGGGAAAAGGAAAGAGGAGGGGAAGGGAAAAAGGGAAGGGAGGAAGAGAAAAAAGGGAAGGGGGGGAAGGAGAGAGAAAAGGGGGAAAAAAGGAAGAAAGGAGAGGGAGGGGAAAAAGAAGAGGAGGGAAAGAAGAAAGAGAAAGGAAGAGGAAGAGGAAGGGGAAGGGGAAAGAAGAGGGAAAGGGGAAAAGAAAAGAGGGGGAAAAGGAAGGAAGGAAGAGGGGAAAGGGAAGGGGAAAAAAAAGGAAGGAGAGGGGAAGGAAAAGGAGGGAAGAAGAAAAGGGAGGGAGGGGGAGGGAAGGGAGAGAAGAGGGAAGGGGGGAAAGGGGAAGGGGAGGGAGAGAAGAGGGAAGGGGGGGAAGGGGAGAGGGGAAGAGGAGAGAAAAGGGAAAAGGGGGGAAGGGGAGAGGGAGAGGAGGGGAGAGAAAAGGAGAGGGAGGAGGGAAGAGAAGGGGGGAAGGGAAAGGAAGGGAGAGGAGAGAGGAAGGAAAAAAACAAGGGAGGGAGGGAAAAGAGAGGGAAGGAAAAGGGAGGAGGAAGAAGGGGAGAAAGAGGGGGAGGAAAAAAAGGGAAAGAAAAGGGGAGAAAAAAAGGGGGGGAAAAAAGGGGGAAGAAAAGGGGGAGGGAGGAGGAGGAAAAAGAAAGGAAAAGAAAAAAAGGGGGAGAAGAAGGGGGAAAAGGAGAGAAAAAGAGGGGAAAGAGGGGAGGAAAAAAAAAGAGAGAAAGGGAGGAGGAAAAAAAAGAGAAGAAAGAGAGGGGAAGAGAAGAAAGAAAAGCAAGAAGGGGGGAGGAAAGAGGGGAAGAAAAAAAGGGGAGGGAGAGAGAGAGGAAGAAAAGAGGGGGAAAGAAAAGGGGAGAAAAAAAGAAGGGGAGGAGAAAAAAGAAAGGGGGAGGAAAAAAAAGAGGGGAGAAAAAAAAGGGGGAGGAAAAAAAAGAGGGGAGGAAAGGGGAGAAGGAGAGGGGAAAGGAAAAGGAAGGGGGAAAGAAGGGAGGAGGGAGAAAGAGGGAAAGGAAAGGAGAAGAGAGAGGGAAAGGAGAAAGGAAGGAAAAGGGAGGGAGAGGGGAAGGGAAGAGGAGGGAAGGGGAAAAAAGGAAGGAGAGGAGAGGGAGAGGGAAAGAAGAAAAAGAGGAAAGAAGAAGGGGAAGAGGGGAAAAAAGAGGAAAGGGAAAAAAGAGAGGGGGAGGGGGAGAGGGGAGAAAGGGGGAAAGAGGGGAAGGAAAGAGAAAGAGGAGAGAAGGGGAAGGGAAAGAGGGAGAGGGGGAAGAGAGGAAAGGGAAAGGAAAGAGAAGAAAAGGGAAGGGAAAGAGGAAAGAGGAGGGAGAGGGAGAAAGAAAAAGAAGAGGGAGAGGGGAAAAGAAGAAGGAGAGGGAAGGGAGAGGAAGAGGAGAGGAGAGAAGGGGGAAAGAAAGGAAAGGGAAAGGAAAAGAAAGAGGAGGAGGGGGGAAAAGAAGAGGAGGGAAAGAGGAAAAGGAAAGGAAGAGGAAGGAAAAGAAGAAGGGAAAGAGGAAGAAGAAAAAAAGAGGAGGGAAAAAGGGAAGGGAAAAAGGAAAGGAGAGGGGAAGGAAAAGGAGGGAAGGGGAAAAGGGGAGAGGGAGGGAAAGGAGAGAAGAGGGAAGGAAGAAAAGAGGAGAGGAAGGAGAAGGAGAGAAGAGGGAAGGAAGAAAAGAGGAGAGGAAGGAAAAGGAAGGAAGAGAAAAGGGGGAAAAGGGGAGGAGAGGAAAGGAAAAGAAAAGGGAAGGGAAAAAAGGAGAGGAAAGGGGAGGAGAAGAGAAAAGGGAAGAGGGGGGAAGGGGAGAGGGAAAAGAGGGGGAGAAAAAGGGGGAGAAAAAAAGGAAAAAAAGAGGGGAAAAAAAAGGGGAGAAAAAAAGAGGGAGAAAAAGAGAAAAAAAAGAGAAAAAAAAGGGGGAAGGGAGGGGGAGGGGGGAGGGGAGAGGGGAGGAAGAGGGGAGAGGAAGGGAGAGGGGGGAGGAGGGGGAGGAAAAAGGAGAGAAGAGAGGAGGAGAGAAAATTACGGGTCTCAGAGGCGAGAAACGGTCAGCCTTAGGGTTGGGGTTTGCCATGGGGTCAAGGGTATGCCATAGGGTTGGTTTTATTTCTTTTTTGATTTTTGGCAGTTTAAAACGTTTTCTAGGGACATGAAGGGTTGTTTTAGGCTCCAAAAAATATTTTCTTAATTTTAAACATTTTTTCAGATTTGTTCGAGCAAATTAAAATTTTGGATTTTTTTAGGGTATGGGTTAGGGTTAGCTAAGGTAAAATTTAAATTACGATTTTAGAAGTTTAAAGGGTTTTCTAAGGACATAGAGGGTAGTTTTAAGATAAATATATTATTCTTTTTATTTTAAAAATTTTTTCAGATTTTTTTGAGGGATTTAAAATTTTGGATTTTTTTTATGGTAAGGGTTAGTGTTAGAGATAGCTAAAATTGATTTCTTTAATTTTTAGGGTTTGGAAGTGTTTGCTAGGGTTATAAAGGGATGTTTAGGGATAATTGAAGTTTTTTATTAATTATAAAAATTTTTTCAGATTTTTTCAAGAACTTTTTAAATTTTTAGTATAACCCTAG